CTGGCACCAGCTGGTCAGTCGAGCCTTACGGTTTATCCACCGAAGGAGAACCGTGGCACTGGCCTTCCGCAACTACTCTCGGCCCCGGGCCCAAGGCAAGTCCGCAAGGCCCAGTCTCGAGCGAAGGTCCGGTTTACCATGGATCCAACCGAAGAGGAACTCAATAACCTCAACACCTTGGAGAATGCAGCCGACTGGGCAGGCACGACAGGTGCGGTCCACGACCATCTCATGGGGAAGTTGGGCAAACCGTCCAAGCTGCGGGACCTGGTCTTCATTGCCCGTCCTGCGTGGGATACGGTGGTGGCCAGCCTCACGATCAAAGAGCCTCAAGCTGATGGTACAGAGGCCGAGCGAGACTTGACCCCTGTGGAATTTTCACGGGTCGAGATCTTTCGCCGGGTGGTATTCCTGAGGCTCAAGGTCAATCCAGATGGACCTGGTGGTGCAGGCCCTCCACAGCCGATTGTGGGAGCGGCCCCATTCCCAGGCACTGGAGGAGGACAAGGTCCATCATCTCCGACAAGAAAGCTTAAACTGAGTAGCATCGTAGATCCCACACTCGATGCAGAGATCCTGCAATTGGGCCAAGAAGAAATTGCAGAGATGTTCTCCAAGTACAAGTCCAAGTTCGGCGATGTCCCGTCAGCAGACGTGGAACCCAGCGCTGATCAAATATCAGCAATCAAACAGCTTCTTACCAGTGGAGCTCTGCCGTACATAGACATGTCAATCTTCGGGCCACACGCCATCCGGTCGCTGCGCAGGAGTGTGTTCTCCTCCTACACCCTGAATGCGGCGACTGGGGAGTGGTCGAAGAAAGAGAGCCCAGGTCCGGCTACTCTCCAACAATGGGAGAAGAGCTTCAAGACCTACAAGGTGGCTATGCTCTTGTTGGAGGCTGCAGATGCGGAGAGACTGGAGGGCTACCTAGAACATATAAAGGACCTCCATGCGCAGTTCGGACAGGAAGCATGGGGCATCATATACCGTGCAGATGTCAGGATGAGAAGTGAGTTCCAAGAGCGGATCCGCAGGGCCCTGGATGAGGACCCAAAGTATGGGTATACTAGGGCCTCTCCATGGAGCTCAGTCTTTGCGGCAACGGTCAGGGAGTCGGACTTTTGGTCCAAAGAAGTGGCGACGCCAGCCACGCTCCTTCTGGCCCGTAACAAACAGCTGGCACCTGAAGAGAGCAGCTCTCAAGAGGGTCGCCCACAGAAGCGCAAGTCTCGGCAGCCAGAAGGCACGCAGAAGAAGAAGGCCAAGCGCAAGTACACAGGTGAGGACAGATCACGCTGGGACGCAGAACAGTCAAGGTATTCCTTGAACCGAAAAGGGATCCAGATCTGCCAGAAGTACAACCGAGGCGCCTGCGGAAACGGGAAGCCGCAGTCACGATGTGAGAACAATCGTTCACATCAATGTGACAAGTGTCTAGGCCCCCACATGGCCAAAGACTGCAAGGGGCCCAACTGAAAGTTAGGGATCAAGCTGACTCCAAACAGAGAGGCCCAGCCGAAAGACACGCGGCCACCGCTGCCACGAAGGAAGAGGCCACATGAGGCCTTTCCAGTCAGGGACAGGAGGGATCGCCCAGTTTCCCCTTCCAGGTCCCCTGGAGGCACTCATCGGCCGGCGGTGAAGAGACCCAGGTTAGAAGCTGCCCCGAAAAGGGCGAGCCCAGAGAATGAAGCCGCTTCACACCACAAGAGGCCGAGGCAAGACAGAGACCGGAAGGCACCAAACCCAAGAGAGGAGGAAGAACCCGGAAGCTCAAGTGACTCCAGCTCATCGTCCACATCATCATCCACTACTGTACAAGCAGGGAGAGAGAAGATCCCATCAATGCCGCTGTACGTGGACTACAAGTATGGGGCCACCAACCTGGACCCGCAGCTGTGGGATGACAGGCCCAGGGCCCTCCTGCTCTTCTCAGGGCGCCCGAGGGATGGAGACCTTACCTCCTATCTTCATCACATGGGATGGATAGTGGTGGTGGTCGACAAGCAGGGGCCAACTGCGGCAGACCTTCTGGACACGGAAGTGTGTCGCAAGATCTTCGCGGATATCAGGGCTGGAGTCTTCGACGTAGTGGGCATGGCTACACCTTGCGAAACGGTGTCCCCACTGAGGGAGAATCCGCCGGGCCCGAGACCACTCAGGTCCCTACAACATCCGGATGGGCTGCCCCTCAAAAGCCTTTCCTCAGAGGAGAGAAAACAGCTCAAAGAGGCAAATCATCTCATCGAATTTTCCACACACGTGACGAGAGAAGTGAGGCGCATCAGAGCGGCCTACTGGATAGAAAATCCAGACCACAAGGAGAAGCTCGACATGTGGAAAACGAGCTGGTTCAAAGAGATGACTGGTCACGCGCTGGTGGAAAAGGCGTTGTTTGACCAATGCCAATTTGGAGCAGAAACAACGAAACCCACAAGGATTCAGACGGACTCCCTTCCCCTTGGACAGATCAAGGGGAGGAGGTGCAACCATCCTCCGAGGGAATGGACCAGACCAAACGGAGAGACCTACGTTTCACCACATGAGTCCTTGGTCCAGAGGTGGAGGACAGTCAGAGGAGAAAAGGAGCGAGCATCCAAAGCTCTGGGTGAGTACACGCCAGCCTTGAACAAGGCCTTGGCAGAGGCGATGGAGAAGGCGGACCTTCCCCGCGTGATGAAGCATCGCGAGGGGAGTCTCAGGAAGGCAGCGAAGTGAGGCGTGAGTGCCGGACCAACAGGACCAGTCTTAGAGGACCAAGCGATGAGACAGAGGGAGATTGAGAATGCCGAAGCCATTGGGGGGATGCGCAACCCGCTAAAGTCCATCAGGAGGATCCCAAAATCCGACATGGCTGGCAGGGCCGTTTTCAAGCTTCTCAAGCAAGCAACATCTCACCCCTCTGTCAAATCGCTAGTCGACCAAATTTTAACGGGCGGACAGGCAGCTCCGATTTCAGCTCAGCTTATTGACAAGCTTAGGCAACTGGTATGTTCGTTGTCCCCAGGAACCATTCAACCTAGTACTGCAAAAGCATGCACACCACTCCAACCTCAGATTTTTGACGCTTGGGGAAGAATAAGTGGGGACCCGGATTCCCCGGTGCTGGCGCAGTGGTTGAGGTCGGGCGCTCCCCTAGGCTTCACCGAACCCATTCCTCGTACGGGCATATTCCCCGTGGTTAAGGAGGTTGAATGGGAAGCTGAGGCAGCAGAACAATTACAAAGGGCATTCGAAAACTGGGATAACCATCCGTCTGCCGTCGAGTGGGAAGAAGATCTACACAAACTTATTGATGAGGCTGCATCTAAAGGTTTCTGTTCATTCTACCCCAACATGGCGGCTGCGGAAAGGGAAATCGGAATAAAACCCGTATTAAACAAACTGGGTCTGTTGGTCAAGGAGAAACAAACACCTGAGGGAGTGATTAGGAAGGCACGGATTATTTGGGACATGAGGGAGAGCGGCACAAACAAGCTATGCTCCCAAGGCGAAAGGGTGTTACTGCCGAGGGTCACCGACGCCATTGAGGACGCCTTGGAAATTTTCCGAAAAGGGGGGAAGCCAGCGTTTCTAGCAGTGGACATCCGCGATGCCTTCCACAACATTCCATCGGGTAAAGACAGAGCATTCACTTCAGCTGCATTCAGGGACAAAACTGGCACACTGAAAATTGTGGTTTATGATGTCCTGGTTTTCGGCTCAGTTTCATCTCCAACTTTGCGGGGCAGATATGCTGCATGGTTTGGAAGGTCCCTTGCCTCTATCAACCCTGACATCAGACTGCAAACGTATGTGGACGACCCGCTATTCACGTTTGACTGCACGGACCCCTATCACAAGGAAAGGGTGGGGATCTCCCTGCTCTGGTCACAAATAGCCGGGTACCCACTCAAACTGGAGAAGTCTGATTCAGGAACAGAGGTGAAGTGGATAGGAGCCGTTATAAAAGCAGATCATGATAACCACACCATATCTGTAACTATACCTGAAGACAAAGTTGCTGAGCTGAAATCAAAAGTCCAGACCTACCTGAGGAGGCCGGTCATTGGACGAAGACAGCTACAAAGTCTAGCAGGCGCGTTGTCCTTCGTGGCGGGATTGGTCCCTCTCATGAGACCTTTCTTGAACTCCCTGTGGGCTGCACTGGCAACGAATGACGGTCCGAAGCAGACCAGAAATGTTGTCCATGTGCGCCGCATTGGGATAGCCTTACAGTGGATAGACGCCTTGCTGGGAGAAAAGGCAGCTCCGTTCACCAGGGTAGTGAGGGCATTCAGACAAGAGACAAAATGCATTATTATTACGGACGCATCAACCAGAGGCTTGGGGGCTATTATGATAGTTGGGGACAGACCAGTCGAGTTCTTCAGCACAATCATACCCCAAGAGTTCATCGTTCGTACTGGGGCACAACTAGGGGACCCCAGCCACATGGCGCTTTGGGAATCCCTGTGCCTCTTACTAGCCGCAAGGACATGGCTGATAAGGTTTCCACTTGGGTCCATCATCCGTGTCAAGTCTGACAATATATCGGCCCTCCACATGTTAGCAAAAGGCAAGGCCAAGTCGCCAGGGTTGGCTATGATCGCCAGAGAAATAGCTTTAGATCAGGCGAAGGGAATATACGAGTTCACAATCCTTCAACATCTGAACACCAAACTCAATAAAGTTGCAGATGCATTGAGCCGGCAGTTTGAACCTACCCCACCATGTTTTCCGCACGAAGACCTGGGGGCTGCATCACGCATACCCATCCAAGTGGATTCTTCGTTTTGGCATTTACCAAAGGGTAACGCCAGATCTTTCAAAGGGGGGAAAAGTGGTTTGGGGGGCATAGGTTTTCACATAAGAGCTGAGGCTGTGCACTGCATGTTTTCTTGGGTAGGTAACGCATGAGTTTTGGGCTCGAAATGAAGCGTAGTCTAGGTCCACGGTTTTGGCTGGGCCAGGGAATACCCCAGGCAAAACCAGCCACCCATTCTGCAGGGCTACGCCCAGGGGCCCGTATATGGGACCGTCGACCCCGGGCATCCCGAAGCAGCCGCACCATTGGCACAGCCAGGTGTCAAGGCTTACGCTAGGGGCTCGTTAAACGACGCCATAAGGCACGCATCCACAGGTCCGGAAAGGTGTGCAGAACACATCACAAAGAGAGCAAAGGCAGATACGTCCAGAGGCCCCTACGAGTCAAGGAAATCAACGTGGTCTGCCTTGGCCAGGGCGGCGGGTTTCTCAGACCCGTTCCGTCTTTCCCCGGACCTCATCAACACGGTGATGGGAGCGATGGACATGGCCGGCTATAGATCAGCAGAGCTATACATGGACACAGCCAAGCAGATACACATTGAGAGAGGACTGGATTGGACAGCACAGCTCGCCCAGGCCTCTGGGCAAGCCAGAAGGGCATGCCAAAGGGGCCGAGGGCCAGCCAAACAGGCGCAACCTTTGCCGATGATCGAGCTAGCGAAGCTGAAAGTTCACAAGGACCCAGCAGCTCCTGGAGGACCAATTTTCCCGATGAGGTCCGTCATGTTGGCATCCTGGTGGCTCCTTCGTGAAATCGAGGCAAGCTCGGCAGAGAGGTCGCACATCGAAATCGACAAGGTCCAAAGACTTATCCACTGGAAGCTTCCATCCAGTAAGGCGGATTGGCAGGCCTTGGGCGCAACTCGAACGCATTCTTGTAATTGCGAACAGAATGCCCGGCAGCCAGAGTGTCCATACCATGCCATGGTGGAGCACCTAGAGGCAGTGGGAGCTATCAGCGATCGCTGGGTTTTCCCATCAGCCACAGGTGAGCAGTCATCCAAATGCGGATGGGCCGACACCATGCAATGCATGGCACAGCAGCTGAATCTTCCTACTCACACAGACACTGGGGCAAGGAGATTCACCGGACACAGCGCTCGGGCAACTAGCGCAGTGTACCTGGCACAGACCCAGATTGAACTCTGGAGGATCCAGCTATTTGGGCGCTGGGGTTCGGAGTGCTTCAGGATATACATCCGCGACGCTCCACTTCAGCAGCTGCACTCCTAGCCTGGCAAAAGAAGCTTCTCTCACAACTTCTTTAGCAGCAGCCCGGGCGGAACTTTCTGCGATCCTCAGCCAGGCGCAAAATTGTTCCCCGCCAGCCGCAGCAGTTTCCTTACGGAACCAGTCCGTGGACTGCCTTGCGGACTGCGAGGCTGCAGTGGATATTGCTCCGCAATTGGAGCAGCCACCTTCAGTGGAGTTTGTGATTAACAGATCTGCCTACGGCAAGATCCACAAGGTAGCCTGTAGTGGACCAACACGTCCTCACTACCTATGGCGCACCCAATGCAACTGGTATTTTGCACGTGGTCACGCAGACTATGCACTTGCAAGTCAAGCGGACCCAGACAAGCCAGAATGCAACAAATGTTTTAAGCCCAAGCAACAGAAATTGGATGATGAGTCCTCTACCTCTTCATCATCCTCATCGGAGTCATAATGCGCTCGAACGCAGAATGGACCAGGTTGGCATCATGGACTCAATCAAGCACATGTTTGACTCAGCCAGAGTGGGACACTTCAAAAGTGATCCTAGCTAGCTGAGTGAGTCACACTCATGGCCAACGTTTACAAAAAAGTGCGTCCGGCTCCGATGCACATTTCTATTGCTGCTCTCATGGTCTTAAAGAGTTGTTGGGTGAAACAGTGAAACTGTTGTTGTAACAACTAAATGACATGAGAGGGGTGTTTGTGGGAGGGAAACCCTTGAACCAGCTTGGCCTGGGGCCATTTTGGCTCAAGGGTGTGATTTTGAAATCCCCACCCGCCCTCTCCTAACTCAAAAGGGGAGGGAAGCACATGTTTGACTCAGCCAGAGTGGGACACTTCAAAAGTGATCCTAGCTAGCTGAGTGAGTCACACTCATGGCCAACGTTTACAAAAAAAGTGCGTCCGGCTCCGCTGCACATTTCTATTGCTGCTCTCATGGTCTTAAAGAGTTGTTTTGCCAGTTTATCAGCTTTCTTGTTTTTTTTTACGGTCTTACAATTATAGCTGTCCCAGACATTCTGAAATTGATATCAATTGATTCTATAGGTATATTGACAGTATTTATTTTGATGTGAATTTTATATGGATGTTTCTCAAAAAATGGTGGTACCCCTATAAATCATCCATTTCAATAAGATTTTCCATAATAAACTATCAATTTTGGAGTACCCCCCATTTATGGAAACCCCCATAATTATGTTTGTTCGTTTTTTTGGATGACCCCCATATATCCGTTATACTCAACCCAACGGCTGATGAGCTGCTAAGGCAGCTGCACTCTCGTTCACAGGTGCCAGCCGATGATTTTAGTGCGTTTACTTTGTTCATAGTGAAGATGACTAGCTGAAATGTTTGTTTGCCAAATTGACGAAAAAAAGAAAATGCATATGTTTGATGGTTTGAAAATTGAAACCGGCTACGAAATGATAGGAAATACAATTGAATACAGACATATACTGTTCATAGAATCGTCCCCTTTATTTCCCCTTGCCCGGTTGCCCATGCGGCAGGTAGTAGTACAAAAAAGCCGACCTACAGCATGGGTTCAGAAGGCGATCAAGGGATGGCCTTGGCCGGCCGATCGTGGAAAACTCCCAAACTGCTGTGGAAAGCTGGAAAATCTCTCAGCCAAATCAGTGATTTACTGTAGATGTTACAATTAACACCCAAGAAAAATCACATGATTAGAGTTGTTAAATGCAGTTATGAACATCAGTGAACATCCCAACATGTCCACTTTGATCCTTTTCGGAAGCCCTTTGGGAGCTGCATTTCTTCGAAGTCTTGATGACCAACTCATGGAGGTCATGGTGCCCGAGAATGTCATCCATGCGCATTTTACTGGAAGGACGCGGTGTTGGGCGGCCTTGGCCGACTGAGCTTTTGTTCTAGAAATCGAATCTTAAATGTGGATACAATGAGACATAGATTTGTAGTCATTTAACCTAAGGCTTAAGGCACCATTTAAGCCACAATATGTCACCCGTATATGGAAGAGACTCTGTAGCCCAATGGTACAAACTATAGGCAACTTGAGGGGAATGAGTTCCACTGGCATTGGCATCCGCGAATTTCACTTGGGACATTTCCCCAAAACAAGCTCAATTTTCCTCCCGCCCAAACAACATGTTATGATATTATTGTATATATACAGTATATATATATATTTAATTATGTACTACACTATTATGTGTTATAATATTATATATATATATATTATATTATATATAATGTAATATTTCGCACAGACCCCGTGGTTTGCCCGGACTGCAACATTGAGGATTCCCTGTCGTCGAACACGAGAGAAGAGAAATTGCAGAAAATACTGAGTATACGCAGTGCTTTCTGCTTTCGGATTCAGAGTTTTCAGGGTTTTAGGGTTTAGGGTTCGTCGTCTGGTAAATACCAAAACACTGGCCCTGCGCAGGTTTTTGAGCATGTCAAAGGATAATATTTGAACTCAATTCTAAACCTTACGGGCAAACCATGGGGTCTCGCTGTAATATTATATATACTGTACTATTATATTACACATAAATATTGTAATTTTAATATATATATATATACACATTAATATTATATTCATGTACTGTAATATTATATTGCACATACATGTTGTAGTATGATATGTATATATATATATATATTATTGTAATATTATATGTATAGTATTACATTTCATGAGAACTATATATAAGATTATATTTATAATATTATTGTTATAAGATTAAATATAACATATATATATAATGTTTTATACATTCATATTTATATATATACACATAATCTTATTTTTTGTTTATGTGTATATATATATATTACCCTCTGGTAAATAAACATAGACCCTGAAACTAGCCAAGTTTTAATGACAACTAGTCTTCCAACCCCTATCTGCCAGGGTCTATGTTAATTTACCAAAGGGTACAATTATTACATCTGTATATATATATATATATATTTATTTATTTATTTACATGTCTATGTTCCATTGGAATTGTTCCAGCCATTCAAAAATACCAGCATCCACTGCAGATCCTGAGGACAAGGGATGTAGCAGTGGTGCTGATTGCAACTTTTGCCACCTCTGCAACCAAGGTGCCGCTGGGTGCAGTCCTGGATAGTCCAGGGATTGGTTTTGGTGATTTTTTCATTGGATTGGTTTAAGGGAAAACCATAGGAAAACCATGGGAAAACCATAGGAAAACCATATGTCAATGGATTGGTTTAAGGGAAAATCTACAGGAAACCATAGATTTTCCCATTAAATATGGGGTTTTCCTGTAAATTTTCCCTTAAACCAATCCATTGATGGTGTCCATTTTTTTTGGTGCTGAGGACCATGCCAGCCAAAAGTATCATACCCTCTGGTAAACGTTTACGTAACTATGGAAAATCACCATGCTATTAATGGGTAAATCTATGTAAATCTTCTATTTCTGTGGCAATTTTCTTTTCTGGACGGAGATCGACATTTTGAGAAGTTAACCCACATTTTGAGAAGTCGAAGAGTTCCTACGATGGTTCCTGCGTTTCCGCACGGGATCAATAAATCAACGTTCGATGGCTTGTGTCAAATCTTGTTTCCATCGTACCTGGAATGATTATTGTTTTTTTTGGGGGGGAAAAACACAAGGATACCTTCTCGGTATCGCTTGAGTCGCCTTTTTGGAGCTGTTGCTTGATTTGAGGATTTTTCTGCAACCCTCAGTTCAAGGTGAAATAAACTGGCGTAACCTGGATCCGTCCCAATGCCTAGTAGCTCATGTATCCAGGTGAGAAAAAGCGGCGACAGAAGGAGAAGCGAACTGCCGGAGTCTCAGCATTGGCGAAAGACCCTTCGATGAGGGTCATCGGACTAACAAAACTGATGATTTACTGTTTAAATTTAAGTCACTTAAACCACTATTGATGGCTATATTGAACATATTGAACATATCGAACATATCGAACATATGGAATATATTGAATATATTTAATGATATGTATAATATATATAATATATTACATTGTTTGTACAGGTTGGATATGCCTATGAACAGTGGTTCCATCATTTACATCCCTTATATACAAATTCACCATGAACCCAGCCAGTATATAACATGGGCTTCCATGTTGAGCTTTTTTTTGGGTTTTTTCATCAGCCAATTCATGGAATCAGCTTCCAGCGAAGATGATGCGGTTTTTGTTGTGTTCTTTCCTGGGTGAAACATCAAACAGAAGTGCGGCATGTTCAATCAGTAATTTCTTGTTCCCAAAACATCATAGACTTAAAGATATACCCTCTGATTATTTAACAGTTTGCCATGGTATAGATGGCCCATTTATAGATGGTTTACCTATTCAAAATGGTGATTTTCCATGACAATGTTAAATAACCAGAGGGTATATATATATACAGTATTACATTACATATATATATATAAGACATTATTAAATCACGTACTAACTGAACTTCTTTTAAGATCTTTTAAGTAGTTCACTAGGCATGTGCTTTTTGTGTAGATTGTCAAAGTCTTCATCCCCGAATCACTCAACTTGTTGGAGCTTATCGGATTTTGTTGGTAAATGATGTAAAAAATCATTTATTATATAAGTTCATTTCAGTTTATTGGAGCTTCTGGGCAAACATGCTCGAACCAAAGAAATAGATTTATTGGAGTTGATTGGAAACATGATCGAACAAACACATTTATAATCACGAAAGGTAGCCTCCCAACGGGCTACCTTGAGTTTTACTTTGCGAAGCAAAGGGGTGGGCTGGACCCCTTATCCCTGAACGACCAGGAGAAAGGGACCCCCCCCCCTCCCCCCTCCTCCCCTCCCCAGATCATATGGTACCTTCCTTCCATTTGGACCGCGGATGATTTTATGAATGGCTCAACATCGTCATCGTCATCATCATCACCACCATCATCAT